TGCAAATAAGGGAAACCATGGGACCTATGTTTCTTTGGGCCTGGCTTACTTCACTTAATAGAATTTTTTCCAGGTCTTTCCATTTCCTAACAAATGGGGCAATGCCATTCTTTCTGATGGAGGCATAGAATTCCATTGTGTATATATACCACATTTTCTTGATCCATTCATCTACTTTGGGCATTTACTGAAATGATCACAAACAAGACCATACTAAAGCTACCAGCACACCTATGTTTCTTGCAGCATTTTTTACCATAGCTAAGATTGGAACCAAATTTTTTTAATTAACCTAATTTCAACAAATACAGTCTTCAAAGAGTAGGGAGTTCACTGGAGATTGAAAAGTCTCATTAGGTATCAGAAAGGGATATTTACAAGCAGTTCTTTATCCATTTTGGAGGGATAAAATTGCATAAGATCATTTCTGTGTCATTTTTAAAAAATTGTCAAGTTCAATTTGATGTGATCCTTTTGCAGTGAATAAACAAATGCAGTCCATTAAATTATTTTTGAGTTATTATGAACCCAATACTATATTTAGGACAAAGCCACAATTCAAGTTGTGTTCATATATCACACATTTACTCGATTGTGCATTTACTATTCATGAGATCTTGGGCTACTGAAAGTTATTCAGATATAGAAGCAGTTCCCATGAGTGGGCCGCTGCATCTGGACAAACTGTAATCACGCTTTGTACTCTCACAGTGGAAAGCATGAAATTACTGGCATTATATAAAAAGGGCATCACAACGGAAATGGTTTGCATATACGAAGTGCCATTTGTCAGTTCTCTCAAGTGTGGCAGAAAAACAAAAAGAAATGCAACTATTTCCAGATATGCACCTGCAGAATCCAATTAATTGTAAACCTTTGGGGCCTTTGCCTCCTTAAAGTTCCGTATTAATTCTCCACCACAGTGAAGAAGAGCACTTGTAACTTTATCCTGTGCTTTCAAAAACAGACATTAATAGTGTTAGAAGTTGGAAAGAAACTAACTTTGAAAAAAGAAAAAAGGTGTTTAAAAAATCACCTATAGGATCACTTTCAATTTTATTTGACAGTCTTAATCAGGTTAATCGCATTCTTGTCATAGCTCTACAATGTGATATATAGGTATGATCTTACCTTGATATGCCTTGAAAACTAGTTAGAAGGAAAATGGTTGTGGATGAAGTTTTACTGGTACATTTGTTTGTCTCTGATTCCATTCTCTGCCACTCAACATAACCAAAATTTTGACAGTTTAAATGAATTCAAACAAAAGTTATTCTTCCAGATGAAACTGGTGAAGATGAGAGAAGCAAAATGGCGGCTGGGACATGGATAATGGTCACTGTATAACCCGGCAGTTGTAATTACAACTTGTTATAACCGTTTGAAATAACAAGTGAGCAACATATACTAAAAATCCCAAAGATCATGCTATTTATTTAACCCAGTATTTCTAGAAATTATAGGTGCACATAGATTTTTAAATGTGAAGATATGGTTGTTTGCCAGTGTTATATCAAAAATGAAAAGCAAGCAAATATTTATTTTTTAATTTTTCATTCCTCTTAAGTCATTATCTAAAGCGGTTTCAAATCGGTGTGTCAGTTTTTAGACACACTGTATCTTGATCAATGTTACCCCTTTCATTATTCTCCTCATCTCTCCTATCCCCTATTATATTCCATAATTGTAGTTATGTAAGTACAATTATTTGTATTCATGGTTTTGAAGACTATTCCACAGTACAGACAAATATTGACTATAGAAGAGAAGAACCACATTTGGAAGACATTTGACTGAAATATAAGCAAAAAAAATGACCTCTCACTGAGCGTGATAGTGCATGCCTCTAGTCCCAGCACTTTGGAGTCAGATGCAGGAGGATCTCAAGTTCAAAGTTAGCATGGTCATGAGCCCTTGTCTCAAAAAATACTATTAAAAGTTATGTTTTGGGTATTTTTTTGTCCGTTGTGGGGTTTGAACTCAGGGCCTGGGTGCTGTCCCTGAGCCTCTTTATCTCAATCACTCTGTTATTTGAGCCACAGTACCACTTCTGGTTTTTGAGTGGTTAATTGGAGATAAAAGACTTACAGGAACTTTTCTGCCCACCTCAGCTTCAAACTGCAATCCTCAGATCTCAACCTCCTGAGTAGTTAGGATTACAAGTGTGAGCTACCAGCGCCCCGCTGGGGTCTTTCTCTATTGAGCATGTATTGTGTAATGACCTTATATTACTTTTCTAGTTAGAGTTTAGGTACCTGTTTCTGGAAAACAAATTTTAATTAAGTCTTATACATATAACATTTTAAATTTTAAATAGTTAATATAGATGTACTTTAATACTCTTTTAAATACTATTTTCCTCAACCATTTCATGTCCCATGAGTTTTTGGTAACTGTTCAGTGAAGTGGGTATTTAGGACAGTTCTTCTAGGGGATGATATTTTTTCATCAACATCACTAGCATTGAGAAATTTTTATTGTCATACAGACATGCTATGTTTTATTTAAACAGTACTTTATTATTAGATGTTGAGTTGATTTGTTTCCAGTGTCTGCTTTTATGTGTATTGATGTAGGTAAAAGTTTTCATGCTCTGCATGCATTCATTATTATTCTCTTAGTATTCACTCCTGTAATGGTTCTTGTCAACAATTCTTCATCTGCAAGAAACACCTCTCAAATAAATACTCTTTGTCATTTGTGCTCATTGGTTCAATACATACCAAATGCATTTTAGATTCATTTGAATCATTGTTTAGGCTCATTAAGCTGTAACCACTGAGTAGGATGCCCTGTTTTGAATTGCCCATGAGCTACAAATAGGTTTTGCTCTTATAAAAGGTGGCAAAAAAACAAGGAAAATAAAAAAAGAAAGCAAAGAAGAGTCTGTGGAAGAGAGACTGTAGGTAGCTTGAAAATCATAAAGCATTGTTCCTTGAAGAAGTTGCAGTAATGCCCCTGCTCATCACTTTTTTAGTAATAATAATAATAAAAAGAAGTTGCATTCTCAATTAAAGGCAGAGAAGAAATGGCTCATTTGTGTGGTTCCTGTTCTTTTCATACCTTCAGCATGGATTAATGTTACAGTTAAAATGATTTTTGCAGTTGTTCAAAGAATATAGAGGTTCTAGTATGGTTTTAAAAAGTTAATTCCTTTGTAAACAATTTTAATCTTTTTTCTCTTTGTAATCTTTTAAATATTAATATAAAAACTTGAAAGTAAAGTTTCATAAAAAGAAAAATGCGGGGCTGGGAAGGTGGCTCTGTGGTAGAGTGCTTGCCTTGCATGCATGAGGCCTTGGGTTCGATTCCTCAGCACCAGATAAGCAAAAAGAAAAAAGCCAGAAGTGGCGCCGTGGCTCAAGTGGTAGAGCACTAGCCTTGAGCTGAAGAGCTGAGGGATAGCACCCAGGCCCAGAGTTCAGGGCCCACGACTGGACCAAAAAATAAAAATAAAAATAAATAAAAAAATAAAAATGCATATTTTGTAAACAGAAAAAGAAATTCAGAATCTATTATATTCTATTATACTACACTGCCCTTGTTTGGTCACAGCTATCAAAAACAAAAATGAACTGATAAACTTTTTATTCATTAAGTTATGTAATTAAATTATCTAAATTCAATTATGTAGTTATTCAATCATGTTTCCTATTCAGAACAGTAAAAATGGGTTAAAATTATGTGTTCTATCTGTATTATTTACATGTATAATACATATAAATTTTTGTTGAGTACTTTGCATTTTGAAGACAGTATTCATAGTTTTGAACTTGGATATGCTGGAATCCAACACCTGTCTTCCCTGCTGATTTTTTCCATTTGAAATATTTTTCACTTTCACATTCTCAATTTTCTCATCTGCAAAGTGACATAATATTATCTACTTCACAAAGCTACAATGAGGATCTGATAAGATTATCTATGAATATTTAACCTGATTTCCAATAAAAATGGAAGTGCCTTGAATATTGCATCAATTTGTATGAATGGCCAAAAGCTTTCACAAAGCAAAAAACCAGTAAGTTATTTTATGATTGGGCCTCAGTGTGTATGTGTGTGTGTATACACATATATGTGTGTGTGTGTGTGTATATATATATATACATAATCGCCTTTCTCTCTGTCTCTTTGACTCTCTGTCTCTTTGTCTCTCTCTGTCTCTCTGAGGGAGAAGTGATACCCAAATGACTTTCTGCATACTAAATCATCACATATATGTATGAACCCTTAGAATACTCAATGATATTGTCCATAATTAAAGTTAATTTTAGTCATTTCTGTAGTTTCATCTGTTAACATATATATTATGTATGACTTCAGAATTTTAGAGAAATATCTAAAAGGAGACACATGTATGTGAAGAATATTCAAACTTGTCAAAATTATTAAATATGTTGGTTCATGGCACTCCCTGATCTGCACTAAAGTTGATCTTTATAATGCCTTTCATGAGGAGTACACTGTGATTCCTCATTTTTCAGTTTGATATGTCAGACTTTTAGAGCTACCCACCTGGATAACACAGGGTTATTTAATTGTTTTAGGACCTGGATCAATTTCTAAACCTCCAACATGGAAGAAAGGTTCCTAGATATTTCATTGTGTCTTCCCTACTGCTTCCTCAAGTCAGCACCCCCTTTCTTGTCCCTGGTAGTAGCTCCTTTTCCTCAGAGAACAGCCACATGAGGACATTGACATTGCCCCAGGGAACTTGGAACATTAGGAGCTCTGAACCAAGAAACTCTCGAATTTATGTATGCAGATGCATAAGCATAAAGACAGAAATATGCCCTTATGGTATAAATAGGTCACAGAAAATGACAGTACAGCTACATTTAATTAATTCATGTCCATCTACTGTTAGTTCTAAGCCATCCCTGGAAGTCAGGGATCAATCAGAATGTGTCTGAAATTTTAATAAAAATACACTAGCATATTCTATCTCTTAAAAATGAAAAAAAAACCAATGTCCAACTCTACTTCCAGGGAATACGGAGCTATTGATGATGTAGACATTGATCTGCACATTGATGTCAGCTTTCTCGATGTAAGTATTAGTTTCTATAATATACTGGTATATTTTAGGACATTTTAATTCTAGAAAGAAACTTATTTTTTGATATTCTTATGATCCTGTCCATTACTTACTGATTAATAAAGACTTCTCAATGTTTCTTTTTCTTGATTCTTTTAATATATTCTGAAGTTTATGGACTAATAGCATTTCATTATATGTTTCAGTTTTGTAAGCTTTATTTTTATCTTTCACCTATAGAAGCAGAAACTGAAAGAATTTTAGCAGGGAGTTTTGAGGTAATATCTAGCCCTCATAACTCATGCATTCTTTAACCTAAGTTTCAGAAAGGGTTTTTTGTTGTTATTCTTCCATTTTGTGTTCTGAAAGGTGGCTAACTCATCTTTTATATGTGTATGTACAGGAGGAGATTGCTGTGGCCTGGGAAGTAATTCGTACCGAACCTATAATTGTCCGACTGCACTGTTCCCTTACACAGTACTTAAATGGCCCAGGTTAGTTTTATTTCTCTATTTTTTGGTTATTACTTGGCTGTAAGCAAAGTGAGTGAGTGTTTTATAATTCTTCTTATCTTAATACTTTAACTAATATCATGGTAATAGGGTTTATCCTAAGAAAGACAGTTTAACTTTCTTTGTTTAACTGAAGGGAACAGAAACATGTAATGTTTAGTTGCATGACTTTTCAGAAATGAACATGTTTCTGCCAAAAAAAAAATCACAGTGAACACTAAAGGAGTACTTCGATTAGAGTGGAAGTTTAGTAAATATATTCAGTGTTATTCTTACAGGCAATGCTTTCTTTTCTGATTAATCCCATCTGTGATTACTAGCAAATCTAGCCTACCTTCAGAACCATCTTCCTGTTCTGGGCTCAGCTGAACACTTCTTACATAGCATCTCCCATGGCTTTGCCTCTTCAGCTACATAGTAAGAGGGGCTGGTGGCGTTTAAATGCCTGTCTAAGTTGGAGGATCAATGTGATATAAACATGACTAATAGATTCAAGTGTCATCCTGGCCCACAGTGGGCTTGAGTCACTAGATTGACTCCCTCATATGTGAATTCTTTATGCCTCTGAATCTATGAAGATCCAAAAGCAACTGTTCCATAGAACAGGCAACTCCAGAGAAAGGGCATATTGGATTTCCCATTGTTTATATCCATCAAAACCATTGAACAGTCCACCCAGAATCAAGGGATGGGAACCTAGATAACCATTCTCAAGCTGTGGCTGTCTTTAGTCAGTCATTCACATGCTACTCTAGTATCTGTACATTTGTTGTTGGGGAGTATCAAGGAATCTATCTATCTATCTATCTATCTATCTATCTATCTATCTATCTATCTATCTATCTATCTATCTGTATATGTATATGTATATACCTACTCAGCTTTTCTGGAGGAAAAGTATCCATCATTTTAAAAAAATTATTAATACAGTTTTTTTATTGTGAAAATACCATACAGAGGGGTTACAATTAGATGAGCAAGGTAATGAGTACATTTCTTATCAAACATTGTTGCCTCCTCCTTTGTTTCCCTTTCCCACCCCCCCCCACCCCTGGCCAAAGTTGTAAAGTTCGTTTTTCGACATAATGAATGATGACAAACAAGACCATTCTAAAGCTATATCCATCATTTTTTTAAAAGACAGCTTCTAATTTTCTAAATTATTTATCTTCTATTTGGGGCTCATATGTTTTATATCAATAAGTAATTAATTCTTTTTTTGGGGGGGTCCGGTGTGGGGCCTGAACTCTGGGCCTGGGCGCTGTCCCTCAGCTCTTCAGCTCAAGGCTAGCGCTCTACCACTTGAGTCACAGCGCCACTTCTGGCTTTTTTCTTTTTGCTTATGTGGTGCTGGGAATCGAACCCAGGGCCTCAGGCATGCAAGGCAAGCGCTCTACCACTGAGCCACCTTCCCAGCCCCTAAGTAATTAATTCTTAATACAAATAATGTATACTAAACTGATATGTTTTCATGCTAAATGTTAAATATTTTGTTATGATTTTTTTCAAATATGTAGAAATACAATGACCAAAAGGGATGACTTACAATCTTTCCCTATTGAAAAACTGTAACTATTTTGGTGTTTTGTTTACCCATGTTTCCCTGAGTCCCAGAAGTAACTATGCATTTAACTCTTGTTGCATGAGTGTCTTCAATGTATTAAATAATCAACAAAGCAATGGGTGGTACCTGCCCAGTATCCCCATCTATAGGCATATTGGTTTTGCTGTTTCTCTATATTTTGGCTACATGCCTACCCTTTTTCTTACTTTAGTGAATTGAAATGTCCCGTCTCGCTTTATTCTGGTGTTGGTTAGAAGTAGAATATACTGTCAGGCCTGAACTTTGCTTTACTATTTAGAAGAAGGAGTAAACTTGAGTATATACTCACTTAGATTCCATTTATGTGAGATAAAAATGTGTCATATTACCACCTTTACTTATTTTTCCATAATCCTGAATTTTAAATAGATTTTTTTCTTCACAATAATACTTTTTACATATGCACTTAGTTTTATAAATATTTAACAGTCATTGTAATTTACATTTAGATAGATGTCCTGTTGTTTAATATTATTTCTTTGGCATCGAAACCTATCCACTATTTGTTTCATCAGTTGGGTGATTTACATATTTATCATGTGTAAACTAAGAAAACTGCACAATTATATTTTTCATATTTGAAGATGACATTATTTTATGAATGTGGCTAATTTGATCAAGTAAAATTTGTAAAAGAAGATAAAATGTTAGAGCATCTTCTGCTAACTTGGGTATGAAGTCATTGCTACATCTTCTCATTTGTAAAGACATTTGTTTTGCTTTTGGGTACTTATGTATTTATGTTTGGTGTGTCCTGAGACTATTTTTATTTTTCCTGGTATAATTTTTTGCAAATTTATTTTTTCATGGCATGTATAGGTCTTAATTTGCCTCAAGAAATCTTTATGGTAATTATTTTTATACCATTTTGACTTGCTAGTCCTAGTATAGATAGATTGTGTCTTTTATCTTCTGCCATTGTTCATCATTTGTATTTTTTATATCAAATGTTTCATCAATTTTTCTAACCTAAGTTTTCACTCTCCAAATGAAGTTTTTCTGTAATTTGGATTTGAATTTAATATCTTGCTTGTATATCTAATTTGTTCATACTCTTCTGATCACACAGTATACTTTTTTTGATCACCAATGACTTCTACATCATTTATTCAGTATCATTTGCAATCATTTTGTAGCCATCTAACAGCAGCTGTCCCAGATTTATCATTTAACAGAAGGAATTTTGCTTTCAATTCAAGCAGAAGTTGGCATGCACTGCTTTCAGAAATGAGGGTGTTACTGTAGAGATGTGTTTTCCATTAAGAAGAGGAAATTTCCCTACCTTAGAGAGTGAATCTGGGACCTGTGAAGGGCCACACCCAGACCCTCTAAACCCCTTTTCCTGTGCTTCTGTCTCTTAGTCCCACACACCTTGTAGCTGTGTCTCACACACTTTCAGTACATTGTCCTCAGACACACAGGCTATGAAGAGCAGATGAGTATTTGGAGCTTCTTCGGTGTGACTCTGTGCATAGAGTACAGTGACCTCCCTACAATGCCTCAAGGCTAGACAAACTTGTCAAGGTATAATTTATGCTTCCTTCGCCATAGAATAGCCCTGAAGCTGGGAGGTTACCTGAATTTGTACTCTTTCTGGGCTTTTCATCTTCTCTCTGAATATTCCCATATGCCTCTATTGATTTCTCTTTTGAGCATTTCTTTAGTAAATGATTTGCTGCTGCATCTTCACTTAAAGCTTGCCTCCAATTGAACAGGACCTGAGCTGGATGGGTCAGGGCTCAAGAAGTGTAGGCTCTGCCAGACCCCTCGCCCCCACCTTTACTTTCTGCACAGCCAGGCCCCAAAGACAGGGCTCTGGTGCCTTGCCTTTCTCTTCTTTGAGTAGAGTTTCAAACCAGCCATTTAGACTCCTCTGGATGCTGGGTTCAGCCTGCTCCATTTGTAGTAAATGCTAGAAGCTTCTTCCACGGAATGGCATTTATCTTCATTTTCAGTCCTTTCATTGGTTTTCTCATATTTCCATATTACACTGATTCAGTTGGGGTCGTTCTACATTATTTACTTAAACTGTTGTTTTACAAGTAAATTTCTCTAAAGTTTTTTTTCTTGTTGAAAATTTGAGGAAACATATTTAAATTGGCAAATGATATATAACAGAGGAGGAGGACTATAAAGGAACATATAAAGTATCCTTCCAGAAAAATAACTTGGTTTTATCTTAGTTCATAATTCTGATTATTGCAAGCAAATGAAGAAGTGAGAAAATATTTCTTTCGGGGTGTTTTTGAATCTTTGAAAAATGTTAGCATTTATAGTAAAAAGAACTTGCAAAAAAAAAGTGTGACTAATCCAAGATTTAGACTGACCTACTTAACAGTTCCCTTTAAAAAACATTTATTCCTGTGTTTCAGAAGTATGTGAATTACACTAATTTGAATGGCAGTATTTGGCCAGGGCTAGCTTTTAGTAACCTGTCAGTGAACAGAAAGGCTAAGAATTTGCTAGAGTGCTGCTGGCTCACATAGCTACTTGGAGGGTGAAATCTTACGATTAAGGTTCAAAGTCAGCCTGAACTTCCTGTCTCATGGGCTTTCCTAGCCCATGAGACTCTTATCTCTGATTAGCCACCAAAAAAGCCAAAAGTAGAGCTGTAGCTCAAGTGGTAGAGTGCTAACCTTGAATACAAAAGTTCAAGTACAGTGCCTAAGCCCCAAGTTCAAGCTCTAGGATCAGCACAAAAAAACTAAAGAGGAAAACAAACAAAAAACTCTGAAGGAATGCTTGCTGTAGTCCACTTTCAACTTAAAGTTAAGGTTTATTGTTTATTGGGCCAGGGAAAATGGACTTTAAACAAAGACATTATTTGTTGTGATTCTTGTGTATATCCTAGAACTGTTGGCATACGAGTTCCATTACAGCTTGTTTTCAATGAGAAAATGTTACTAATTAATAATCAAACCCATCATCTTATTATTGGAATCTCTACATTTACTCTTAGGAGATGGGCGCATTAGAATAATTTCTACATATCTTGACAGCCTTTACTACCCAACCAAAATTACATGAGGAAGAAGGAAAATTGATTAACTTACCTTTGATTTTTAACCATGGAAAAATACTAGTAGAACTTCCTATGAAGTTCCTGTTCACTTCCTTCCACACAAACCCCGTGGGGGAATGTGGTTGTATTTGGTGTAAGTTTAGGAAGAACATGCATTTCTAAAGAAGTAATACTTATTTTTTTGCTATAAGAAACACTTCTTTTATTTATCACTCACAGTTCTGTATTTTTTTTCCTCCTTCATTGGTAAAGGTCCTTAGTTTTAGGTAAGTTTATTCCTAGGTACTTGTATGCTTAATCAGACTTGATTGTCCAACTTACTATTTCTGGTTTTGGAGAGGTTATTAATTTGTTAAAATATTAATAAAATTAATTTGAAATGTTTTAATAAGAATTGCCAAGGTAGTGAAATTCCCTTATACATTGCATATACTGTTTCTCTGATAGTTAATACATTTTATTAATACATTGAATACATCAGTTTTAATTAATTGCATTAATTTGAACAGTAATATGGATTTTATCGCTGAGCTTTTTGAGAGTCCTTTCAATGTATTTTAAGATTTTGGGTCACTTAGCATTTATTTTTTGTTACTTGACTCAGTCAATGTATGTAATTTGTACATACTATATACTAAAATTACATACTATATACTAAAATTTATTATTTTAATAAGATACTGACACTTATTTCTAGTTATACATGCCGTGGTGAAGTTTTGAGTTTTGTGTTATTAATTTTATAACAAGTATATTCTGAATTATCACTGTTTCTTGTTTATTTTCCCTTCTCTATGCAACTCACAGCTCCGTTAGTGAAAGTTTGTAATTCTTCTAGGGTATTTTAGGTTTTTCTACCTTGCCCCAAAGTAAGCCAAGTTCCTTTAATTTCCTCTGCCTTCTGTTCTTAATCGCTTCTTTCTGCCTATGAAAAGATTCTATCTTCTATAATTCTAGAGCACAATGTGATCTCATTTTGTTTATCTTCTTTAAAAGAAAAATAGTTCCCTGAACTTCCAAGATGTTGGAATGTTCTATTCATTAAAATTTCAGTAATCCTGGGGTTGGGACAGGTAGGATCAAACAAATCTAAGGAAATTAATTGGTTGATGATTCCAATGCCCCATTGCTTTGAGCTATGGTCATCACAGGCAATTTGGAGATTGCATTTTGGTCCATGACATGGAGTGTGTATAACGTGGGAATGTCCTATTTAGAAAGACAATGCTTACTGCTTATCTGTTGTCTCAGTGTTGTCTCAGTCTTCACTGTTCATACAGATTGTTTATTTTTCTTCCCTCCCTCCCTCCCTCCCTCCCTCCCTCCCTTCCTCCCTTCCTTCCTTCCTTCCTTCCTTCCTTCCTTCCTTCCTTCCTTCCTTCCTTCCTTCCTTCCTTTCTTTCCCTTCTTTCCTACTTTCTTTTATTAGTTTTCCCTCCCTTTCATCTAGTTAAGGTACTATTCCAGAAATACTGACTTCTTTCAGGACTGGTCATAAAATATTTAATCAGATAAGTAGCTTCTTTTTCTCTCCAAATCTCTTCCACTTAGAGTCTTTTCTCATATCAGGAATTGGTAAATGTCCTCTCTTCTGGGTGCTCAAAGACTCTGGTTTTGCTCTTGATTGATCTTTCTTGCAACTGAAATCTAGTCTCATAGTCACTAGCGCTCTCAGAATATAGATAGTCAAAATGTTCATCCACTGATCCAAGCCACTATATCTCTTGCCTCAATTAGTACCCTAAGTTCTTAAATCATTTAGCAATTTGATTCTTTCTTCTCTCTTTGCCCTTTGCTCAAGAGATCCTACACGGCCCCCGCCTTGGTCCTTCTCTACTCTGGTCTCCTAATGTGGTATTAAGTTTTCTTTTCTCCTTGTACTTGTATACAGAGATATCAGCTTTTTCTTAGTTGTTTGTCATTTATGTCTTCCCTCTGCACTGCAGGCTGCATGGGGCAAGGGTATCCGTATCTCTCCTTCTGTCTTTTGAGTGTTCATTCTTAACAACTCTAGTTCCTGGCCAGTGAATGATAATTGATGAGCACTCTTTTGTGTAACTAATAATTTTAAGAAACATTAGTAATTTAAGGAAAACACACACCTGGTAGAAATTTGAACACATAAGAAGGCTATGCAGTAGAAGGTGAATCTCCTGAATTTTATTCTCAGCATCTCCTGTGTTTTATTCTAGCAGTGCTATTTATATGCAAATATCCCTTTATCTACTTTTAAAATGATTCCCTAACTGCCCTCTATCTGGCTGCTTGCCTGTTGCTTTATCATTTTACATGTTGTTCCTATACAGATATTTACAATGAATGTATAATGACCAGTGGTGATATCTTGCAAGAACACACACACACACACTATGTGTCCTTTATGTGTATATACGTATCCATATATATGTGTACCTTAAATAGCAATGTGAATTGTGTGCTCCATATTTTAAGTGTGAACATACACATACACACTCCTGCTTCAGTCTTATTCCTGGCTGATGATTGATTTTGAGTCAGTACTGAACAATGGTTTTGTTTCCTTTCCAGTGCCCACTGTTGATGTCTTTCAGATTTCCACAAAAGAGCGATTTGGCTTGGGACATCAGCTGAAAAAGTAAGTTTGCTGAAGAGCACTGAATTCTAATTCTGCGTATTTATGGACTTATATTGTGTAGGTACTGACACTTGAACTCTGGTCCCTGAGATTTTTTTTTTTACCCAAGGCTAGTGTTCTACCACTTGCCATAGCTCTATTTCCAGCTTTTCCCGTGGTTAATTAATTAGAGATAAGAGTTTCACACTTTCCTGGCTTTGAACTGTTATCCTTAGATAACGGCCCTAGCATTCAGCATCCTGCCTACTACTGGAAGGGCAGATTGTGCAGGCCTAGGGCCTGTCTCTAATACAACCAATCTGTATGGACCTACAGTCCGGGGGAAGGTGAGGGTGTTTGCTGTCTTGATTTCCTCTCCGGGATGTCCTTCAGCTCCAGCTTCCTGTTCTTCTCCAGACTGTCGCTGTTGCAGGCTCCTGATTCTGGTTATTCCTACTGCTGCTTGCTTATAGCCCAGAGGTTTCTAGCCACTGGGCCTGGGCTATAACTTCATTGCTGTTTCTCATACTTACATGTTTGAAACATTCATTTTGAACATAAACTTTTAAATTTCCTGTTTGCATCTTGATTCAGTGACTCAATTGATCTTTTATAGATGGACTTGGGTCTTCAGAAATACAGTATGTATAGAATTGATTTGAACAAGCAAATATATTCCTTAACATATTACAAGTGCCTGTGATGTTCCATCAATATAGTTATGAGGATTCTGGCAAACTCTGGCATTATTTGTAGATATTAAGTAGAAAATATAGTAGGTTTTAAGTATCTGGAAAAGATAAATGGAGTTCTGTGTACTACTGTATTATAAAATCTTACCCGGTCAATTCAATCTTTTTTCTTTCATTGTTCAACTATAAAATTTCCTTTCTGAATTTTAAGTCTATTTAACATAAAAGTATACATTTGAAAAACTGTAAAGGGGCTAAAAACACTGAGAGAACTAAATACAAAAGCAAAGAAAGGAATTACGTCTGAACAAAGAAAGGCCTTGGTAAATTCTATACCTGAGAACTGACTTTCACCTTTTCTGTTAAGTAAATAAACCCTGGGATGAGGGTGTTGTTTCCTGCTGACTCATATTTTAACCTGAGTCCCAATGGAGCACTTGTTTGGTTTTCCTAAAGGAAACTATAATGCTGTGCACATGGTCTCCTTTGGTGATTGCCTTCTGTGCAAAGGAAATGCTATTCTCTCCTAGGAATCTAGAGGAGCTACAGTCATGGTTGAATAGGATGTGAGATTTGCTCCAGTTAAAATGAGAGAAGTTTTACTTGTGCTTATTTTTTCATTTTGCATGACTGGAAATGAATACAAGGCTTCTTGCTCAGGTGCTCTACCACTTGAACCACCCCTTCAGTCCTTCAGCTTTGTTTTTACTGATAGGGTCTTTTACGGGGGAGGGGCTGGCCACCGCCTGGCTTTTTACTCTGATTGTCCTCCCTGTGACCACCTGTATAGGTGGAATCACAGGCATGTACCACCGTGTATGACTTAATAATTGAGATATAGTCCCATTGACGTTTTGTTCAGACTGTCCTCCTCAGATCGTGGTCCTCCCAATCTCCTCCTCGATAGTAACTGTGATCGCAAATATGTCAAGTTTCTAACTTTCAATTTTTAAGAAGTTAACAGATGTTATATGTATTTATCATGGACAAGATTATATATATTATACATGTGATGTATGTATATGTGTGTGAGTGTGTTTTCTGTAGAATGGTTAAAATGGTGCTTATCTGGTTGTAACATGTACCCACCCACCAGTCTAGCCTATCATCTAGTCTAGTCTATCTGCCTCAACCCCATGCTGCCCTCCGTCCTCAGTGTCTACTAGTCAGTGAGGTCAGCTCTTGTAGATTCTGTCTCTAAGTGAAGTCCTGTAGTACATGTCCTTGTGTGCCTGTCTGGTTTCACTATGGATTCCTAGTTCTTTTGGTGCTGTAGAGAATGAGATTATTTCAGTTTCTATGAGTGAGTTATTTTTTGTCTGTGTAAAGGTGCTACAATAAACATGGAAGGCAGAGGTCTCTTCAGCTGATTAATTTAAAATCTGGATAGATAATTAGTCCTAGGATTGTTGAATCATAAGATGGTTATTTTTTAATTTTGTGAGGGACTCCACACTGTGTTCCACAGTGGATACATTAATTTACATGGCCATCAACAGTGTGTGAGGGTTCCCTTTCCTCCACATCAGCACTTGTAATCATAAGAAGCTTACGTCTTATGAAGTTATTTCCCCAGAGACATACAAGAAGAAAGTCCATTTAAAATTAGAAGATAAAAATGTTGACTTTATTGCACATCTAATAATTCATTTTAAAATTTTATGCCTACTTTAGTAACAGTTCCTCGACTAACAATTGAAAGATTTGATCCTCTAGGAGCCATCATATTTTTTTCAGAAAACATGCTGTCACAACCTAGAGCTCATTCCTCAGTTCTTTCCCAGGCCACATCCATGAAGCAATCTTATAGACATAAAGAATAAAACAAATTCCTGCTTTGTGATAGTAACTAAAATAATTTAAAAATACCCTAATTTAAAATATAGCACATTACAGGTGAATGGGCTATGCTAGAGATATGATTTGCAGAGTACATGTTTTTACGTGTGCTACAGTTTTATACTGTTTTTGTTTTTTGTTTTTTTGTTTTGTCGGTGGTGGCGCCTGAACTCTGGGCTTGGGCGCTGACCCTCAGCTCTTCAGCTTAAGGGTAGAGCTCTACCACCTGAGCCACAGTGCCATTTCCAGCTTTTTCTGCTTATGTGTGGTGCTGAGGATAGAACCCAGGGCCTCATGCATGCTAGGCAAGCATTCTACCACTGAGCCACCTTCCCAGCCCTTATCCTGCTTTTTTGTTCATGAAGGAAAATACAGAAGCGGAACATCAAGTGAAAAGAAATTGTCTTTGCTTAAAATAATTCTGAATGTTTTTGTCATGTAAGCAAAAATTACTGATCCTGAAGTTGCCCTGATAATTCTCTTTGTCTTTTATTCACCTGTAAACTCTTTTCTGTCATTTGTATAATTAAACTGTAGTGATACTAATTAATTTTAACACTTAGACTTTTTTTTCAGTCAGTCATGGGGCTTGAACTCTGGGTCTGGGCGCTGTCCCTCAGCTCTTCAGCTCAAGGCTAGCACTCTATCACATGAGCCACAGCACCATTTCTGGCTTTTTCTGTTTATGTGGTGCTGAAGAATTGAACCCAGGGCCTCATGAATGTGAGGCAAGCACTCTACTACTGAGCCACCTTCCCAGCCCTACTGAGACATTTTGAACACTATGAGAGTCACAATAAAGTCCTGGTAATCTACTCTGTGATATCTTGCTGCATATAAAAAAATCTTACACATTTCTAAATTAGCCGTCTCGTTTGTTTTTCATACATGTATTCCCAACCTAATAAACATTGAAATATTCATTTAAATGACCTTGGAACTGTGATAACAGAACTGCGTTTGGATTGACAGAATCATGCAGACATTTGTTACACAGCAGTGGAAACAGAGCAAGGAGAAGTCCAACTGTCTGCACAATAAGAAGCTGTCAGAGAAGAAAGTGAAGTCTCCCCTGCATTTATTTTCCACCTTGCGCAGGTTGGTAACGGGCAACCTCATCACTGTCTTACTAAATGCTAAGCACACCACTATTCAGGTTAAAGCACTCTGTAGTCCTGCATCTGTTTCTTTTCTTTATGACTTCAATGCAAACACTAAGCAGCATGCAACCCAGCAAAAAACACAGGTGCTCACTTCTGTGTCCAATGATTTTATCCCTTCAGCATTGGCTTATTTACTAACACTGCATGCTTTATTTTCATGTTCCTTATGACAAGTTGAGTATAGAGCTGTGTATTGGAAAGGAGGAAAAGATCTTAGACTTCCTTGCTTTTCAAGATTTAATTCCTCTTACCCTCTGTACCTACTTTGGTTCTAGTCTTAACTAGAAGGCACTATTTTAGCTCACTTAATGAAGTAAGAGGTTGAACAGCACAGCTGGCTGCAGCATGGTCTGCATACTCAGTCTCTTCGTCTCATGCTTTGCCTTGTGTGAATTCTTGTTTCCTCTCCAAGGTCGCCAAGTTATCCTCCCCCAGGCTGTGGCAAAAGCAAATCCAAACTGAAATCCGAGCAAGATGGAATCTCCAAAACACATAAGCTGCTTCGGAGGACTTGCTCCAGCACTGTCAAGGCCGAGGACATGTGCCCTGGGAAGTCACACAGGACTTTTGGTCGCTCCCTTTCCAGCGATCCAAGGGCTGAGCAGGCCATGACAACTATTAAATCGCACAAACTCTTGAACCGTTCTTGCCCTGCAGCTGTGAAGCAAGAGGACTGCCTGACCCTGAAGCCGCATAAATTATTGACTCGACCTTGTTCTGGAGACCCTCGGTGCGAGCACAGTACCAACTTGAAGCCCCACAAACTGTTAAGCAGGTCTTACTCCAGTAGTCTCAGAATGGAAGAGTTGTACGGGCTGAAAAATCACAAGCTGCTCAGCAAGTCTTACTCGAGTGCTCCCAAGTCATCCAAAGCTGAGCTCTTCAAGGAACCTAATGCAGAGGGCAGGAGGCTCTCTCTTACCTCAGGGCTAATTGGTATCTTAACACCATCTTCATCTTCATCATCTTCCCAGCCTGCTGTGCGTAAATATTTCCATCTTGAGTTTGTAAGAGGGGCAGTGGATTTTTAACGTTTCTATAGGGTCTGTTGGAGGAAAAAAAAGTGACCGAGACCTGGGGTGTCTATTTTTAAATTTGCAGGTTTTCTTTTCTTCTTCTCTTGCATACCACACATCAGGAAATGACACTGGAATGTTAGTTTTGATTCACAAAAAAATTAACGTAATTGCTAGTTTCAGGTACAGTCCAGATTCCTCAAATAGTAATGAATGAGGCTAAAAGTAGAAGGAAGCCAGTTGTATTCACAAAAACTTTCTTTTCATGGGAGCAGAAGGTGTTCATGGTTTTTTGTTTGTTTGTTTTGCCAGTCCTGGGGCTTGAATTCAGGGCTTGGGTACTGTCTCGGAGCTTCTTTGCTCAAGGCTAACACTCTACCTACCACTTGAGTCTTAGCACCACTTACTGCTTTTTCTGTTTATTTGGTACTAAGGAACCAAACCAAGGGCTACACGCATGCTAGGTAAGCACTCTACCACTAAGCTACATTCCCAGCCCAAGGTTTCCATGTTTTGTAAACTAAGTTTATCTAATCTGCAGTTGAAGGATATTCCATTTATATGTAAGAACTTTATCCATGAATGTTGTTTCTGGTGGTGGATTGACACTACTTTTCGAGTTGTGGCTCAGAGCCTCAAGCTGTTCTTAAAATGTCTAGTTTACTTTGAAGCTGTTTTCAGTGGACTTGAAGTCAGATGATGACTGTAGTGATAAGTTATTTGCTTGGCATTTATTTAGAAAGGAACAGTCTTACATAAAACTTACTTTCCGCAGAATTGTCATGATAGCCAGTAAAGAATAAAGTGATAAAGGAAAATATGCCTAAAATCCATATACATTATTTCTGTATTTACAATAGTTGATAAAACTTTGCTGTTTTTAAAAAATGAATGCATGTAGTTTGGGGGAGTCTCTTTAGCTCCATTAGTATGGATTCACCCAGCCATAGATTAAGTTGCTAAAATTAAGATAACTGCTTTCAAATGTTATCTTCAGATAAAAGATCTAAATTATATTGTAACATATATTGTAAAATTATACTTGTTTCATGGAAATTTGAGTATGTGGATAATTTTGTGTGAGTATCCTAAAATCCCATTTCAATTCAATGGTAAGCTTTATGGATGTGGGGGAAGTAAGATCCAACAATTTGAAGTGTCCCAGGGTATATTATCCCTCTTGAAAGGTCATGTCAGGTTTTCTGAGAAAGAAGGCTTAATTGTCCTTCTCAAGGTTCGACTCAGCATACAGCTGTATGCAGTTCCCTTTTCATTAGTTGTCTAATACTTCCTGGGAAGGAAAACTGCATCCGAAGGTAAAGTAAGATTGGATTTTCTGAGAAAGTGGGACTGTTTTCTCATGAATGCTAGAGGAAACAAATTTTGTGATCATGTAATGTTCATTAGAAGATTAGAAATGCAGAATATTCATTTCGTATTGGCAAAGATTACGACAGTAATGAGGGGAGTATTATTTAGTAGAGTTAGCAAAGAAATTCTAAAACTGTGGTGTCATGAATGACAATTTCTTGTGATCTTAGAGAGATCAAACTGTATATACTCTTAAAAAATCTAAAGGCTTTAATTTCTAAATTTTCCCCACATTAAAAAAAATTACTTGGTCTTTTCACTTTGCCTTTTTTTTTTTTATAGCCAAATGGTGCAAAATGCATTCCAACACGAGACCGCGGCTTCCTGGTGCAGGTAGGGGCCAAGCCTACTCTTATCCACTGTGGAGAAAGTCAGTCCTTACTGGGCTTTCAAGTCATTTGTGCACTTGGATGAATAATTTCTTTGTGTCGTTTTGTTCAGACGATAGAGTTTGCTGAACAGCGGATCCCTGTGCTGAATGAATACTGTGTGGTTTGTGATGAGCCACACGTGTTTCAAAATGGCCCCATGCTTAGGGTAAGTTCTTTTTGGTAGAATCAAAATATAAATGAAAAACGTGAAAATGTAAAATAAGCAAGTAAGTAAATGTAATTAGAAGTAAATACTTCACTAGGAACATTAGCATACTAAGTAGTATAATTTGGACAAAAATGAACTGTTTTTACTTCTGAAGGAGTCTGTGAGAGAAGTAATTTGGTATTAAAGATGTTTCTTAATGTCTTTCTTACGTATATATTATCTATCATCTGTGTGTCCATTTATATCTGTGTCTATATATACACTAAACATCACAAATTACAGAGTTTCAAGCAGTACCACTTAGAATACCACTTAGAAATTTAAGTATAAAGAATATTTTTACTGTGTTTATTCAAGTAAAATTTAAGATACAACATAAGAAAGGGAATATAGGCCTCTATCCTTCCCTCATCCCCAATCAATTACTGATCTGATTTCTCTTTTGACATTTGAGATGAATGAAATCACATACTGATGATATACTTATCATATAGCCTTATGTTTGTGTCTTCTCTCATTCAGTATAATGTCTTGTTTCATTACAGCATGTGTCAGTATTTCATTCCTTTGTGTGGCAGAGTATTCCAGTTTATAGATATGATAGATGGATTTGCTAGTACGTGCATACATATCCAAGGTACAGCCATACTGCTTTCGACAATGGCTGTGCCATTTCACATCCCACCAGTGATATGTGCCATCTACTTTCTCCATATCTACACTGCTTGTTATTCTCTCCTTTCTAAAAATATCATAGCCTGGGTTTCTGAGGCAGTACTTCACTATGATAAATTTTTTTCTTTCCCTTTTCTTTATTTTCCTTTCCTTTTATTTCTGTGCCAGTCCTGAGCCTTGAACTTAGGGTTTGTGCAATGCCTCTGAGCTTTTTTTGCTCAAGTCTAGTACTCTATCCCTTGAGCCACAGCTCCACTTCTGGCTTTTTAGTAGTTATTTAGAAATAAAAGACTCACGAAATTCCTGCCCAGCCTGACTTCAAACCACAGTCCTCAGATCTCAGCCTCCTGAGTAGCCAGACCACTAAGCCCTCTTGAGTTATGAGGTTCCATATCCTATGTTATGCTTCCCCATATAGTTAACTGAATTTTCCCCCTGTTACTTGTTCAGACTGTTCTTCCTTTATTGAATGACCAGGACAACCTTGTTGAAAATCATTTTACTGTAAATGTACTGCTTTAATTCTGTTTTCACTTCTGCTTCCACTGATCTCTACATCCCTTTTCATGGCAGGACTGCACGGAGTTCCTGTAACTTGTAGTAAGATAGAATTCAGGAAGCTTGTATCTCCTTTCCTGACTTTTTACAAGGTTGTGTGAACTGTAGCTAGTTGTGTTCCCTTACATTTCTTGATTTAAATCTGTGTCATTGTGTCTGTTTTTGAAAAAAAAGAAAAACACATTTGGAATTAGTACAGGATGCCTGGGATCTGTGGGTCAGTTTAGGGAGTGTCATCAACTACACAATGATCATTTGTGCCTCCTCCATGTACATATTGAAATTTTGAGATGACTATGTTGAGAATGGGCTGGGTGCTTTTGTAGAAATGATCTCAGAGAGCTTCCTCCTCACTTTTCTGCCACATGAGGCTACAACAGGACCACATGTGGTCTTAACTGCTGGACTCTTTTTTAAATCATTATTATTATTATTGTATAGGTGAGGAACAAGCAGTTTACAGTTACATAAGTAAGGTGATGAGTACATTTCATTACAGACACTATTACCCCCTTCTTCATTTTCTACTGCTTTCTCCTTTTTATCTCCCTTCCCCCCAAGTTGTAAGTTCATTTCTGAGTTAGTGTCTAGAGAGTATCACTGTTGCATTAGTTTATCCTTTGACCTGCTCTTTCTGTGATTCCTTATTCTTTCTGAGGGTCAGATAAACTTATTTACAAGACAAAGGACACAGCAAACAAAACAAAACAAAAAAAGAGACAAAATGAAATAACTGACAACAGTACATTCTAGAAACCTCTTGTTTCCAATTATTGGAGTTCATTTTGATACACTTCATTATATATGCTCATACGCACCCAGAAACTGGTCTATTGTGATCCTCTGCTAAGAATGTCACAGACATAATTTAGTTATTACAAATGAGGTAAACCTTGGAAGTGGTGCTGTGGCTCAAGTGTAAAGCGCTAGCCTTGAGCTGAACAGCTCAGGGACAGCTCCCAGGCCCAGAGTTCAAACCCCATGATTGACCAAAATAAAACCAAAACAAAACAAAACAAAGGGAAACCATGCAACCTACATTTCTTTGGGTCTGGCTGGCTTTACTTAATAAAATTTTTTCCACATCTATCCATTTCCTTATGAATGGAGTGATGTTATCTTTCTGATAGAAGCATAGAACTCCATTGTGCATATATATCACATTTTTTTGATCCATTTGTCTACTGAGGAACATTTGGGTTAGTTCCATATCTTAGCTATGATAAATAATGCTGCAGTGAACATGGCTGTGCTGGTAGGTTTGTGATTATTTGGGGAAATGCCCAGGAGTGGGATTGCTGGATCATAGGGGAGCTCTATGTTTAAAATCCATACTACTTTCCAGAGTGGTTGAACCTGTTTACATTTCTGCCAACAGTAGTGTTCCCTTTTGACCACATCCCCGCCAGTACCTGCTATATCATTTGTTTTCTTGATAATGGCCATTCTAAGTGGGGTGAGGTGAAATCTCAATGTGTTTTTTGTTGTTGTTGTTGGTGGTGGTGGTGGCTTTTTTTTTTTTTTGTCAGTTGTGGGGCCTGAACTCTGGACCTGGGTGCTGCCCCTCAGCTCTTCAGCTCAAGGCTAGCACTATACCCTACTTGAGCCACAGTGCCACTTCCTGCTTTTTCTGCTTATGTAGTGCTGAGGAATCAAATCCAGGGCCTCATGCATGCAAAGCAAGCACTCTACCACTGAGCCACCTTCCCAGCCCAATATGTACTTGTTTTTTTTTTGATTGGCATTTTTTTGTCTTTTTTTTTTCCAGGGCTGAGAACCGAACCCAGGGCCTTGCACGCGCCAGGCGGGCACCCTTCCGCTGGGCTAAACCCCCAGCCCCTTGATTGGCATTTTTTTTATGGCTACAGATATTGAATATTTCTTCATGTGTCTATTGGCCATTCTTATTTCCTCTTCAGAGAAGACTCTAAGTCTTTACCCCACCATTTTTTTTTTTTTTGTCAGTCATGGTGTCTGAACTCGGCCTGGATACTGTTCCTCAGCTCTTCAGCTGAAGGCTCCTGCTCTACTACTTGAGCTACAGCGCTATTTATGGCTTTTTCTGCATATGTGGTGCTGTGGAATTGAACCCAGGACCTCATGAAAACAAGGCAAGCACTCTACCACTGAGCCACCTACCTAGCCCTTTAGTCCACTTTTTTAATGATGGTGATTGCTTCTTTGAAGATTTGTTTTGGGGGGATTTAGTTTTTTGATCTCTAAGTATATTTTAGATATGAGACCCTTGTCAGTTGTATGGCTAATGAAGATTTTCTCCCAATCTGTGGGCTTTCTATTGATCTTGCTAGCTATGTCCTTAGCCATGCAGAAGCTCTACAGTTTCATGCAATCCCATTTATCTAACCTTTCTTTGATTTGTTGTGTTTGTCTTTATTAAGAAAATTTTGAACTGTGCTAAGAACCCCTAGTGTTTCCCCTATTTCTTCTTGTAATATTTTCAAGGTATCTGCTTTTACCTCAAGGTCTGGGATCCATTTGGAATTGATTCTGGTGCAGGGTGATATATAAGGATCTAACTTCAGTTTTCTACATGTGTATGGCCAATTCTGCCAGTACCATTTGTTGAAGAGGCTGTCTTTCTTCCATCCTGTTTTTTGTTTTTTATTTTTTTACCTCCCTTATCAATTAGGTGGCCATATGTCTTTGGGCTCATTTCTGGGTCTTCAGTTCTATTCCATTAGTCCTCAGGCCTGTTCATGTGCCAGTACCAAGCTGTTTTTATTACTATGAGCTTTGGAATAGAGTTTGAAGTTTGGTATTGATATTCCTCCAGCACTGTTTCCTGGTAAGGATTTTTTGCTATTTGGGATCTTCTATTATTCCATATGAATTTTTGGATTGTTTCTTCTGTTTCATTAAAGAATGATGCTGGTATATGGATATTGCATTAAAATTTGTAGATAGCTCTTGGCATTAACTGCTGGAATCTTCTGTGAACCAGAAGAGAGGCCCTCCCAGAGCTCCAATCTATTTGTACTCGATTTTTTAACTTCTCCACTTCCAAATTATGAGAAATAAATGCTAATGCTGTCTCTAAGACCTTTTCTACTAATTGTCTTTTTTCCTACGTATGGGCCACATTTGCTTAATTCTTTGCATGCTTCATAATTATTTTATTGAAAACTAGAAATGTCTAGTGTTATATTACAGTAACTTAAGACCCAGATCTCAAGCCTCCTTGGAATTTTACTTCCTTGAATGTTGTAGTCTGCTGTGTGAATTTTTCTCATCATTTTTATACTGTCTTTATTCATTATCCTCACTGGCCAGGTAGTAATTATAGCACAAAAACCATCCCGCTTACTGCCAAGGGTATATGTGAGATGAGATATGCCTTTAATACTCAACCAGGCAGCGTTTTCATTTCTGCCTTAGCTTTTACTTGCAGTTTGCACAGAAACTCGGAGATGAGATTTAAAGCCATCATACTTTTTTTTTACTTCTTCCTTTTTCTCTCCTTCTGTCGTTCCCTCCCTTTCTTCCTCCCTCCCTCTCTGCCTGGCAGTGTTTCATTCTTCTGCTTCAGCCTTGTAAGTGTTGGAATCAGCAGTGTGTGCACCACCATGGCTGGTTCAAATTGTTCTTGAACATGTACCCAGTCACAAACAAGTACTTGGCTTTCTACATTCACAAAAATAAGTGTCAGATTTTCATAGTTCTCATTTTTGCCATTTCCTTCTGAAGTGTTTGGTCAGCCTGATATGTGTCTTATCACCTACTGCTGTAGACAGAAGTGACTTAAA